CTCTCTCTCTCTCTCTCTCTCTCTCTCTCTCTCTCTCTCTCTCTCTCCCAGCAATCAATCAATCAATCAACCTTTCTTTCTCCTCTCCTTGTTCAGCTCTCTCTCTCTGTATCTCTATCTCTCTCTCTCAATCATCAATGAATAAATCAGCCTCTCTCCCCATTCTCTCGCACACCCTCTCTCCGCTATATCTCTCTCTTTCTATGCACAATCACGAACATAACACAACGTTCAGCTGAGTTCCGGCTCTGTGGGCGTTGCAGACATACATCCAGATAACGTGTGTTCTTTCCACGAGTCCTGTGATATAATAACTCGCTGTCACTGATAGCATCTGGGTAAATAATGACACAAGAATATGGCATGGCAAACACAGGAAGAATTTACATTTACTTGCATCATTGACTAAGTACTTTCTTCTACTGACTCAAATACGTACTTATTTGCCTAGGCCACCCTTAAAAAATTGTTTGTTTCCCCTTTACCTACTCGCCTCTCAGGGTAACGAGTAGGTAGGTAGGTGAAAAATATTTTTTATTTTGTTTTGACAAGATGTGTGTACAGTATGTATATTGTATATTCTGTTTTGTGTATATGTTTTTGCGGAACAAATTTGATTTTTTTTTTTGGCGAAACGAAATAATTTTTGTTTTGTTTTAATCAGCCAACAAAATGTGTCGAGTAGCGACGTTTTGGCGAGTCGGTCGGTAAAGGGGAAACAAGCAATATTTTATCTTAGGCCCTATGACTTCTTTGATGTTTCTTTTCTTATGCACTATTGCAGTATCATAGCAGTAATATTCATGTGATGTAACTTTAACATAGTTCATGCGCGATTGTAGGATACATAGCTGTACATAAACCAGGGGCATTACCAAAAAGAAAATGGGAACCCAACTACGAAGCTTTTTGTCATCTCAGCCCTAACGATGCCTGCTAATCAATAAACGGTTCTCTCACGTGCCCTCTACATTCCACTACATCAAAGACTACGCTTCCTGTAATATTAAAATGTAATTGCATCAGGATGTGGCAATACACACTCACGCGCGCGTGTAGCGAAGCGTACTACTGCTTCGTATCGTGATCGTATCCGTGGTTACGCGTGGGTGTAACACCCTTTGCTAACGTCACATAGTGAACGCTAAAGGCACATAGTGCACGCTAAAGGCACATAGTGAAAAGAACACAACAGCAGTGGTATACGTATTCTAGTTATTCTCTTTAATCGTTACCTCTTAACTATGTATAATCCCATAACAGGGCAATCGCGTACACCAGGGTTACGCGAGACACGGTCATAACTTACGAGGCTAATGCTGTGACGTCCGGTTATCTAGCGAATGTGCAGTATATATATATATCGTATTCTGTCCATGTTTTGCGAGCTCTCTGTCTGTCTTTCACTCTCGCCAAGCAAGAGATTTTATACCCAAACTGGAGAGCCGCCTACCTATTGTTTATCGTCAACCCGCTATACTATGGAAAGCCATTACCGCCTACCTATTTTAAGCGCGATTGAATTCCAGCCAATCAGAACAGTGGTTTTTAATCGCGATTAAAATAGGTAGGTTTTTGTGCGTGCGTGTCGCTGCGCCGGTCGCAGCTTGCCCAGCGTCAGGTCGGGCATGCTGCGGTGGGCCGACGACCGCCGTGACCGTTTTTCCGGACTTCCCGCTGCGTCGCACGCCGCCGCCGCCGTTATCTCCGGCGCCGCAGTCACGTCGTCGCACAAGAAGTCCATGTCGTCGTCGTCGTCACCGCCGTTGCCGGGGTAGAACGCGCCGAGGACGGCCGAGATCTTCGACATGAAGTCGTCCTTGATGTCGCGCTCCCAGTCGCGCGACAGCGACCTCTGGTGGAGAGACTCGCAGCGCGCCGTGTAGTGGTCCGTGGAGCGAGCGCGCTGCACCTCCCCCAGCCGTGACGCGTCGGGCCGTGCTGTGTCGAACTGTGTCATGTCGGGCCGTGTCGTGTCGAGCTGTGTCGTGCTGGATCGTGTCGTGTCGGGCCGTGTCGCGTTGAACTGTGTCACGACGGGCCGTGTTGCGTCAGGCCGTGTCGCGTCGAACTGTGTCACGCCGGGCCGTGTCGCGTCGAACTGTGTCGCGTCGAACTGTGTCACGTCGAACTGTGTCACGCCGGGCCGTGTCGCGACGGGCCGCGTCGCGCTAGGTCGTATCGCGTCAGGCCGTGTTGCGTCAAACTGTGTCAGGCGGGGTCGTGTCATGGCGGGCCGTGCCGAGCTGGGCCGTGCCGCGTCGGGCCGTTTCACGTCAGGTCTAACGCCCTTCCTTGCAGGGCTGCTCTCGGCTGCAGGCCGCACATGGAAGTCCTCATCGCTGCTCCACTCGGCGCTGCCCTCGGGCGTGTAGCGCACCCCGGTGACGCGCGGCAGCACCGCCGGCGGTCCGCCGAGGTTGCCGGTGCTCTGCACGGTTCTACACGCCACGTCCGGCGGCGCGTGCCAGCGCGCCGTGCGCTGCCCGCCGCCGTCGTCGCCGCCGTCATACCCGGGGGGAGTGTGCATCGTGGAGGCCGCACGCTCGGGCGTGCGCCTGCCACGCGGCGTCGAGTAGGTAACCGGTCCCGCGTCGTTCAGTCGCTCGCCGGCACGTTCCGGCGTCCGTCGGCCGACGGGCTTCGCAGTGTAGGTGGCGCTGGCGATCGCGTGCTCCGGGGTGTGGTGCCCCGCAGGGCGGGGGTCGGGGGGCCTCGGCCGCTGCCTGCTCTCCCCCGCAGCATCGCCCGGCCGGGGGTCGCTCGGAGAGACGTGGGAGAAGGTGAGTGACTTGGAATTGTGTAGCGTCGGGGAGCGTGAGAGCGGCTCTCCCCTGCCGCTGCCGCCGCGGCCAAAGTTGGTGATGATGTGACTCTGCAGACGAAGAAAAAAAACGGGCGTGTGTGAGAAACACTTTTCACTATGCACGCGCGCGCACGCACGCACGAACGAACGCACGCACGCACAAACGCCTGCATGCACGCACAGACACACACACACACACACACATATTTACTACATACAATCAATGATATATATAAAGTTCGATCAAGGTAAGCGGAAAAATATATTCCTCTATAGACAGGTGTCGATCAATTAGAGGTGGTTCCACTGTATACTGTAACTGCCACTCAGAGCAAATGCCAAGTGACCTTCACAGACAGGTGTCCACTATATAGAGGTGCCCCCCCCTCCCCAAACATGGGATGAACTGTACGACATACATAGGTGTCACACAGGGCAAAAACTTTTTTTCACAGGAGCTCTTTTTCAAAAGTCTGTGGAAAAAATAGCTCTCGTCAAACATTTCATGGGAGCTATTTTGGCTCATAGGGTCTATGTCCCCCAGGGTACTATCGGAGGGTACCCTGGGTACGGTTCGATATATCGGAACGTACCCTGGTAACTATTTGATATGGTTAGGGTTAGGGTTAGGTTTAGGTTTAGGGTTAGGGTTAGGGAGTAGGCGTAAGCGACT